TCTGTCTGTATGCCCCATTGTCCAACAAAATTTTGTCAGGGGTAAGTTCAGCAATAGTTAATCGTAGACTCTTGAAATTTTGACGTTATATTTAGGTTTGATTGATTTAAAACATATACTTTAAATGAAAACAAAATATTGAGTAGAACCAAATTATGATTTCTCGAGTAATTTGTCTAGAGATCCCGGTTAGGCAGTTACTCGGTTCTCATCCCAACCTACTCTACTGCGAGCCACATTTAAAAGTTGTACTATTCAACTGATGGAAAAAATTATCACAACTCAACGGTAAAATCCGAAATACCGAACATCTGTAACGCTTTAACGCTTAAAACACGGGTAAAACACATTTATTTTTCAACTTAGTCCGATCTTCCCGTTCAAGGTGTCATTCGATTAAACACCCCGAGCCTAACAAATGTTGTCGTATATATTATTAGGATTAACCAAACGGATAAGCCGAAAATCGAGGGGGAAAATTTCACCTCGCCCACCACAATATTCAGATCAAGTTTTAATTTAACACGGATGTAGGTGACTCAATGACCAATCTTATTTTGTTTATTTTGCGAGCGATAAACTCAGTAGAGTTTAAAAAAGTGAAGAGACTACAACTCTTTTTGATTATGGGGGCGGGGTGGCCGAATGGGCTAAAGCGTGTGCACAGCACCGCGAATTGCCTGGCGACCGGATAACAGATTTGAGAAGATTATAAAAAGTATGAGTTCGCGTCCCGATGCCGTAGGGGATTTTAAATTCCTCGCCCTCATCCCCCGGCCCGGGAAAATCCCGTATAGCCTAAAAGGCGAGGTAGGGAAGAACAGAAAAAAAAAACTCTTTTTGATTATTTCAATCGACTCTACAATGTCTTCGCTTCATCACACATGAAAATTAAACACTTACAAAATTTTAATGGATCGGTGGTGGTCGGTTTAGTTGTGTGGCAACTAAGCAAATAGCCGAATAACAAAGTTTTTATTATGACTATTGTAAAACCTTCACTTTCATAAGCCCCGCCATAAAAAAAATTCAAAACAACCTCCCCCCCATCAAGTTAATGAAATTAAATTTGGATTCCCCCTCCCATAATACAAAATCCATCACAAAAAGAGGTTCTCAGATTTTAACTAAACACCCGTAAACGACTGGTACATCACCTAGTGCAAATATATATTAATATTTTACAATTCAAATATTAAGTAGCCTACACTTTTTAACCTTATTTGTTACTTATTTAATAACAATATTTTATCATAATTTAAAAATCACCAATGATTTTTACTTGGATAAATATATTTTACTGAAATAGATAAATATTGTTTAGATGTTGCTTAGATAATCCAATCTAATCCCAAATGATGATTAATTTCAAATAAAAAATTATTGGAAGTTGATTAAATAATTAGTTGTTTTATTTATTTTGTCTGTTCCTAGGAATCACTGGAAAGCCAATTCATACGGCCAAATCTAAGAAGCTAGAAGCCTGCAGGTACTCTTTACCACTGAGGGTGGAGTATTCTGTAGAAGAGCTACGAAAGATTCTTCGACCCATTGGATGGCCGAAGATTCTTCTCAGTGGACTGAACGATTCGCTCTCTGGAGGACCTGGTAGGCCATCTCCTGAATATAGCTCATTCCCTTGTGAGTGGTGAGCCGTCCTCGATATCGTAGGATGGTCGATAGGGTTCGAATCCAGCTCTTCGGTGTTCGGCTCTTCTCGGAGAGGGTACACGGTCATCGGCATTCTTCAAATCATCAACTTCCTCCGAACCCTTCGCCCTTGCATTTTTCTCCTTCTCCCGAATCTTCTTGTCTCCTTTCGAGGTTTACTCGACCAGGTGTCATGCCGTAGCAGCAGAATCAAAGGAAGAAGATATCGAAGTACACTGCGATCCGTTGTGTTCAGGAATACGAATCGCATCATCGACGCAATGTCGCTACTGAGCAGTTCTCGTATCACAGTTGTACACGAAGAACATCGCTCAACTAGTGGGAGTTTAAAATAATAATTGCGCTGTGGTGGTTGGAATTGTTATTACGTTATTTTAGGGATACTTAATTTCCCTAGCCGTTGGTTAGACATTCCCTTCTGGGTCTTTTGTTATCATACATCACTTAGCAACCTAAACCTTTATAATAGCTTCACAGCAATGACCACTACTAGAATTTCACTGTAGGTACATCTACATCTGCTTGGATTTCAATGATACGATCTTTTTACAATTGCACATGTATCTTTTAAAAAATAACTGTGGAAAACTTATATATAAATAAATCGTTTATTTCTTTTCACCCTAAACATTTGAGAGCTCTATGATCTATTCCTAGCCCAGCATTGGCTTTTATTAGTCATGGTTCAAAGTCTCATTTTTCATCTGGAAATCAAACTGACAATTTAGACTGTTTCTTATTGGATTTAGCACGATGTTATAATACTAACGAAATGGTAGATATAGAAATTAGCACTTAAATATAAAATAATTTAAATTAAAAAAAACATTATGGGTATGGTGAAAACATAGTCATAATAATAATAATAATAAAAGGCTTATCGAAGAAGAAGTGAAATCTAAAAATATTTCATAGATATGTTTTATAATGTTAAATAAATTTACTGTAGTTTAGTGATTCTAGAACTGATATGATATTTAAATAATTAGGTATCAACGTCCGTTTATTCCGAAAAAATGTTTATGTAACCTTTTAGAAAATTAAATTAGTGAATAATTTGATGAATTTTCTCTTTGGAAAATCCCAACATTATCCACTTAAAATTTGTGTGACAACGTTTGACGTGTCATTTTCGTATACTTTACAATGAAAAATAATGATTAATAACTAAGTTTTTTTTTTAAGTTGGAAATATTACAATCTGTCTCAAAGGACATTTATAATAGTGTTCTGAGATCACATTCACACTCTATGTACAATAAAAAAATAGATTATACCGAAAAATAATATATATATATATATATATATATATATATATTATATATATATATATATATATATATATATATATATATATATATATATATATATATATATATATATACAATAAATAAGTAGAGGGAAAAGCATGACTCCAGGAGATCCCTGCACTTCTCTCTCAACCGCTTCACTGGGACTAAACCCAGTGGAGATTGAGCGAGAGTGCTTCAGCCACATACACTCATGTCGTGTATTACAGGGATGGGTGGTGCTGGATAGGGATTGTGCAAACGGATTCATATGATAGGTATGGTTCTGGTGAAATTTGGAGGATTTTGCTGGGATAAGGTAGGACAAATGGGATATTAAGACCATGGTGTAAGGTTTTGTTGGTTACATAAAAAGGAGCATCGACTATTGTTCGAAGGAATTTTAACTGGAATGATTGGATGCGTTTGATGTTTTTTGCTGTTCCCCACAGTTCAATTCCGTAAGACCAAGTACGTTTCGTTATCGTCTTGTAGATAAGTATTTTATTTTCAATAGAAATAATAGCTAATAATAACTAATTACAATCGACAATCATTTATAGCCTGAATATGTAGATACAATTTCAAATCTCTCTAGGAATGCACGTAGATATATAGCTGGAGTTATGTGGTTTACAAAAACAAATGGAGTGCCGAGGTTTTCATAACCTAACATAATTAATAGGGTTTTTGTTATTATAATGGTCTTAATGATTTGTTATCTTTAAGCTTTAAGCTGTAGCTTCGTTAAAAATGAACTTCAAACTTTTTACAATAGCTAAATATTGTCAGAAAATAATTTCTATTCAACGTAGAGTGTTAAGTGAAAATTTTGTGTTGCGCGCACCAGTTTTTTTAAAATAGCTTCCATTTAGTTTAACAGATAAACTTCCTACCATGTCTATAATCATGTGTTATTGTTCTTAAACAGTTCCAATGTTAAACAGTATTGATTAGAATATGATTAAAATGTAGTTGACTTTAATAATAATTCTACACCATCAGAGATGATGTATGAAATCAAAAGATTAAAATGTACATATACATTTTATATATACGTATACCTTTTTTTTCATATACATATTACGATAATTAATTTGAAAAAAAATAAAGAAATTAATTACCTATATGAAATGGTGTTTAAGTGGTTTTTGAAGGCCCATTAAATATAATTACACGAACCAGAATACTTTAAGAGATAGTTTTTAGTATTTTTTTCTGTACATTTTACCATTTTGGGTGGGGGCTTCAGCCCGAAAGCCCCTCCTTTAGAATACACTATTATATACCTTTAACAAGTTTAAATGTATATAATGTTTTTTAAATTTTACTTTCATTGCACTGTTTTTAAGAAGATAATTGGATTATAATATCTTAGACACTAGCGGATTCAGGATTTTATTTTGGGGCGGCTTCAGGCCGAAAGATTTTTTTTTTCATATACATATAACGATAGTTAATTTTAAAAAAAAGGAAAGAAATTAACTACCTATATGAAATAGTGTTTAATTGGTTCTTGAAGTCTTATTAAATATAATTACAAGAACAAGAATACTTTAAGAGATAGTATTTAATATTTTTTTCTGTAAAGCATGGTTATATTTTACCATTTTGGGGGCTTCAGCCCGAAAGCCCCCCCTTCCTCCCTCCCGTAGATCCGCCTGGGATCTTAGGAGTGAGGAAGTTAGGATTTTGCGTCGTCACCGAGTTTAAATATTGAGTGTCTTATGTATATTTCCAAACGAGCTGAGTGAAGCGACAGAAAATTTTGTCACTCCTATGTATTCAAAAACGGGAATTCTAATGTATTCTTTTAGCTATCCTTCGTTATGTACGGTGATATAAAACTTTTTTCTATTTATTCGCATGTGTAGGTGACAGTTTCACCGAGATATAACTTGGAACTGAAAACAGCAATATATTTAGGCCACGGCTCGACCAATAAACTATATCCGGATACAAATACATACTGTATCCTGGGTGGGGAGGGGTGGGACAGGGGGAGTGGCCTCGGAGGGAGGAGCCAGTCAGTGGCTGGGGATGGGCTCCGACGGAACTGCTCAGCTCAAGTTCGGCGTGGACAGGATCCTCTCTGCGGAGATTGGTCCGGCCGCAGTGCCGCAGCCTCTAGCCTACTCCATAACAGGTCAGCTCTAATATATACACACACACATATATATATATATATATATATATATATATATATATATATATATATATATATATACATTGTCAAACTTCTATAAAGCTTTTCCAATAAATCGTCTCAGACATTCCTTTAGGCCAAACAGATGAAGATTGAATATGGTCACTAAAAAGGTGTGAAAGATCGCGAAAAAAGTACAATGAAACTTCGTATACCAGACACGTCTCTTTATCCGGCCATTTTATAATCCGTATTTGATTTCTGTAATTTTACAATATACAAGACTACTGCATAACAGACCCGGAAAGACTCTGTGTTCGATTCAAGTTTCTCCATAAAGACAAGCAGGAAGCCACGGAGGCTCATATTCCAAAAATCACTAACGGATCCAGAATTTAATTTTGATAACTTTATTATATATACATGTAGAACATGTTTATTACTTACCTACATACCTACGTGTTTAGAAAATAATTACCTATATGAAATGGCGTTTAAATGATTCTTCAATGGTGTTTAAAGTCCTATTAAATAAAATTTCACGAACAATAATACTTTTAGATATAAGTTTTTAATATTAATTTCATAAGACTAGGTTATGTGTTATCATTTGGTGAAGGGACTACAGTCTGAACCCCTCCCCTCGGTAGATCTGCCTGTTCCGAGAACACAACGTCGCCTTATTCCAATAAGTCAATCTTTTAAGAACTTTCGGTCTTATTTATCTTTTTTTTTTCATTAAAATAACAATAATTACTATGGAAAAAAAGAAAGAAACTAACTACCTAGATGAAATGGTGTTTAAGTGATTCCTAAAATCTTTTTAAATGTAATTACAGGAACAATAATACTTTAAGATATAATTTTTTAATATATTTTTTTCCATAAAATATAGTTATATTTTATTATTTTTGGGAGATGGGTGCTTCAGCCCCAAAGCATTCACATATTTGGGGCTGAAGCCCACTATCTCCCGTAGATCTATATATAAATATTCAGGACGCAGTCATTATAAAGATTTTATTAGTGCCGACGTTACAACCCAAACATGTGCGTCATCATCAGAGCGTGGTTCGAGCACTGAAGGTATTCAAGTACTCACTATACACACAGAAACTATAAAAGTAAGTACGAAAACGTTAATGGAAGCCGCTAAAGAGTTAAGGCTCGAAATAAACACGGATAAGACAAAATATATGATTAATTAGCTGCAAAAATGGCGGTATAGTCGGTGATATCGATATAGAAGGTAATATATTTGAACACGTAGAGAGGTTTAGGTTTCTAGAGTTAGTTTAGAGTCTACGATAACTAGAAAAAACGAAATTGAATAGGAGATTAAGGTTAATAAGGCAAGAAATGCTTGTTATTTTTCTGTGACAAAACCACTTAGCTCGAGCGCCTCTTGTCTCGGATCTTAAAAACTAGATTCTATAAAACCATTATCTTGCCTACAGTTTTATATATATATATATATATATATATATATATATATATATATATATATATATATAGAGAGAGAGAGAGAGAGAGAGAGAGAGAGAGAATAGAATAGAATAGAAAATAAACTTTAATCTGGGACAATGTCCCCTTAGAATAAAAATAATGAAAAATATACATATCATGTTATATTAAATATTCATTTTACATAATTCCTCACGATATATTAACCAATCATATTTAAATAATTTATTGTCATTTAGCAAAAATGTTAACAAATTAGTAAATAGATATTCGAGAAGATGAAAAATTCTGAATATATCAGCTCTCTCCATTGGATGCACTAGCGGATCCAGGTTTTAATTTTGGGGGGGGGGGCTTCAGCCCGAAAGCTTTTTTTTTCATAAAAATAACGATAATTACTTTGGAAAAAAAGAAAGAAACTAACTACCTGTATGAAATGGTGTTTAAGTGATTCCTAAAGCCCTTTTAATATTAATCACACGAACAATAACACTTTAAGAGATACTTTTTTAATATTTTGTTTGATAAAACATGGTTATATTTTTCCATTTTGGGGGGGCTTCAGCCCGAAAGCCCCTCCCGTAGATCCGCCCGTGATTGGATGTATGTGTTAAACAGTTGGTTTTATCAGACTTTTATGTTTGTTCCTTCAAAGGATGAAAGGATACAATTCTTCTGGGGATGAAAGATTTATTGAAAACATAAAAGAGTAGTTCTTGAAGTCCGAATGAGACTGGAAATAGTATCAAATTCTAACAGAGTTTACCCATTAATAGCTGAAGGCATAAACATACAGAAGTTGGACTATCTAATGCATTACCAATTTTTCCTTTTCTTTGATGTTAATGGTCCTCTTATTACTGGTTTCTGTACGTTTTCATCGACAGTTTAAAATGAAATTGATCTTTTGATGAAATTATGTATCAAACAATGGAGAATATTATCAAGATCAGATTATCAAGGCGATATATTTTTCTGAACTATCATCTTCTAAGTAATAATCACATCTTCATTTATAAATAAAGTTACAGATATTATATGTTTGTTAATTCTTTTAAAAAGAACACTACTAATGGTTTGCTTGATTCTATGAATTTATATGATTAATTTAAAAATATTTAATTTCTCTAGTTTTCAACATCGTTTGAAAATGAAATCTTCAAGTTGTTAGTTAAATATAAGTTTGTCAATTTAATAAATTTTCACACGCTAAATAAGCGTAGAAGGTCGAATTTGATGAAATTGGTACTGGGCCATTTGCTTATTAGCCGCTCAGAGCCGTTTAATATTTACTCATTGAAATTTATTCAAACCAGACAAGCTATTTTTGAAATATAATCATGTCAAGGAAAATGAATTTGGGCAAGTGTAAGCAAAAGTAGTAGGTGAAATTTGATTAAATTGATATGGGTCTATCGAAGTGCTAACTCGACTAATCTCTCAAAATTCTATCATCGTCAGATTTACCTCAGTAGGTTAAAATGAGTTCACGCAAACGCAAACTAGTGGGGGGAATTTGATGAAATTGATAACAACTCGATAATTTATTCACCCATCCCTAAATGTTTGCCAACTTTGGGCCAAATAGAACAAATCGTTTTTTAAATTTGGATGTAGTTATGAAAAAAAAAAATGCGCACACGTGTACGAATTTTATCGAATTCTATTTGACAGTTAAAATGAATTAATGTTGTTCTGGTAGTGCTCTCTATCAGTTTCCACTGGTTTCCAATACCAGTGACGCGGCTGGGAGATAAGCACTGGGACCTCCTTGAGTCCTGCCTTGGGTTCCACATTTGGGAGACAAAGCATGACTGAGAGCCCCCAGGTGAATGTAAATATTGTATATAGTTGTAAATGTGTTTTATTTACTTTAATTTCATTAAGCTTCAATACATTATTTCATTTTATTTTTTTTACACAGGCTTATTTATTTACTCATTTTATTTTTCTATATTTCTTTTTCTTTAGTATCTCTATCTTCGTTATTTTTTGTATTTACATATAGTGTGAATAATTAATGTGTCCTTAATATTAATGTCCTTCAATTTGGTAGAATGTATTTATATACAATAAAAAAAAACTCAGGAATTAATGTAGTTGTATTAATGTATTAATTGTAAAGTGTGGCAGGCAGTAAATATATGGAATGTAAGGATATATTAATAATATAGTTACATGAGCTCCAAGTTGTTTTAACTGAGTATACCACTTACTGCCATTATTTCAATTTGGTGAAATTTTCACTTGAATCACTTATGAGGATTGATGTCTGAACGGTACAATATAGGATTTATCGAACTCGATCAACTTCTTTCATTTATGCGTGTGTTTTTCTACAGATCTTCTCAAACGATAAATCATAGGCCTTTAACAATAGGAATTTATATAACCAATAGAAGATGTGAGAAAGCTATACTGATCCTACTTGGCAGACGTTTTTACTTTTATAAAAAAATTAATTATCATTCAAAAGTTAAATGTTTTAGCAGATGTATTATTTTGGAATAATTGAGAGAGATTAATAATAAATGAACGGGTTTCCATGATAACCTGCCCTAAATACTTTTAAAAACTTGAGCACATAGTCTAATACCATGTATTATTGCTAATACATTTTTATATGAGATTTGAATTATGCACAAATAAAATGTCACCTTTTTCATCACTTTTATTCTACCTTTTCTTGTATATGTCAAAGGGTGTTATGAAGGTTTTATTAAAGTTTGATCAAAATCTTTTACAGCCTATAGACAAAGTGTTAAGTTTTAAAAGCACTTGGACGCTAGCACGACCTATTTCTATTCTATTTTATCCCATTTTTATCAACTTCTCCTTTATAATTCTCGAACTACGAGAACTGTACCATCTGCAAAAATCTTAGCTTTGGCTGATTGAAGTTTCTATATCATATTAGAGCTTTTGTTCTTCACCTTTCAGTTTCTTTTATCGTTTTAACCCTTCACATACTCCGTCCTATGAACCCGTTTCAACCTTAACTTTTAATCAATTAAATGGCACATTGCCTCATACCTGTTGTTATCTGTTTTTTTTTTTCTTAGCTCTGATGAAGGACTGAAATTTTTGCTGAAACGTCGGCTAAAATTAATTTTTACATTTTTTTTTGGTTTATCACCCCACCCAATCTTCTCTTCAATTATTCACTACAGTCTACCATCAATCCACAATTATTAACTAATTTCATTGATAGAATTGAACTGAATTAGAAGAAAAAATATTTTTCACTTAACCTTCTTCTTCCTTTCTCCATAGCTCATTATATCGCCCCTACGTCAGTCCTCTGTTTTCACTCGTCTGTTTGCACGACCATATTTTTCATCTGGACATTTGATTTTCTCATTTGTCTAGCAAGTCCCTCCAAAAAGAGCGTGTAGGACATTCTTGTCCTGTCCATCTTTAATTTTATTCTTATTTAGCTTCCAGCAATAATTCCGCTTTGCAGTTCTCTGAGGGGCTGCTCACAAGTCCAAACCAGTGCAAAATGCGTTTTTCTTTCAGAGACACCTTCCGTTCTT